TCTGGAATTCTGCATTCAGTTGGGTGTATCTTTCTCCCTTGCCTTTCACTTCTTTCCTCAGCTATTTGTAATGCTTCCTCAGACAGCCATTTTGCTTTCCTGCATTTCTTTTTCTTTGGGTGGGTTTAGTTGCTACCTCTTGTACAATGTTGCGAACCTCCGTCCATAGTTCTTCAGACACTCTGTCTATCAGATCTAATTCCTTAAATCTATTTGTCACCTCTACTGTATATTCATCAGGGATATGATTTAGGTCATGCCTGAGTGGCCTAGTGCTTTTCCCTACTTTCTTCAATGTAAGCCTAAATTTTGCAACGAGAAGCCCATGATCTAAGCCACAGTCGGCTCCTGGTCTAGTTTTTACTGACTGTATAGAGCTTCTCCATCTTTGGCTGCAGAGCACATAGTCAATCTGATTTCTGTGTTGACCAGCTGGTGATGTCCATGTGTAGAGTTGTCTCTTGGGTTGTTGGAAAAGAGTGTTTGCTATGACCATCATATTCTCTTGACAAAATTCTACCAGCCTGTGCCCTGCTTCATTTTGTACTCCAAGGCCAAACTTGCCTGCTATTCCAGTTATCTTTTGACTTCCTATTTTAGCATTCCAATCCCCCATGATGATAAGGACATCATTTTTTGGAGTTAATTCTAGAAGTTGTTGTAGGCCTTCATAGAACTGGCCAACTTTCTCCAGCACGGGAGGGGGTACATCCATTGATGTATCGATGTATTAGATGTGTATTAGGTGACCTAATTGGTTACCTAGGGTATAAAACGCATGTACCGCGGTGCAACTTTTGAGACACTGCTTTGGGCTGAATGTCCCCTTTTGTCTCCCTTTATTCTATAGTGCACTATAGCTGATTTTGGCTCTAAGTCTCATCTCAGGCTCTGTTTGGCTCAGGTCTGGGGTCCACCAGGGTTTGCTCCAGCTGTTGACTGGCTGAGTCCGGTAACACCTGCACATAGTACTTTGAGCCAACCTGTTTAACATGAACTTTCACTTTCCACCAAGAACCAACCAAAGGAAACCGGCCGACCACTTCGTACTTTGCTCCAGTTTTTTCCTCCTGTATTGTAACTGAAAGGTTTTAGGTGAAGAAATATCAGCGCAACTTTCAAATGCAAATTTTGTATCAAGTGAAGTGTTAACGTCTTGTCTGAAAAGCGGGAAGTTAGGGAGCGATCCTATGCATTCGGGGGCAGAAAGAACCTCCCAGCAATCCACCGACCCGAGTTGTAAACCTTATTTCTGTAGAAAAATGTATAGGTCTCTGTGTCATAGGATCCCTACTTCGTTTCTCGCTTCTCTTTTAAAGCCCAATGTGATTCACAGGATAATGAACGCACGATAGAACACCATATAAAGGAGTGATAAAACAAAAAGATCTCGCTACGTTTTAGGCGCTCAGGCAGCTTGGACGTGGGCTGGGCGATGCCCAGCACACCGCCGCGCCGCGCCGCGCCGCGCCGCCTCTCCAGCACCGGCAAGCGGAGCGCACCTGCCAGCGGCAGCACCGGAGGCGGCAGGACGCCCCGCCCCGGACCCGGCCGCGCCCCCGCCGCCTCGAGGGGGCTTTGGCGCCGCCCGCCGCGCGGCTCCCGCCCTTCCTGTCCTGCGCGCGGGCGCAGACGGATCAGGCCCGACTGCTCGGAGGACGCCCCGGTGCCGACTTTCGGCGGGAGCGGCAGCCCGCAGAGCTCGGAAGGCGTCCGGCTGCGCCGGCCATGCCGCTGCCGGAAATTTCAGAATTCCCGCCGCACTAGCAGCGCTCAAGGCGGTTCCTCCCGCCGTGAGGCTTCCGCTTTGGGATTTTCTGACTGCGCAGGAGAGAAACAATTGTGAGCACATGTTCAAGCAGATTTTAAAAAATGATTACGATATTAATGTTAGATACTATTGTGCTTTATCAAATTCCAAGATTGCAATGGAAAACAAGCTAACTTTGGTGATAATGGGATGTTTTGCTAATGCTGTTTAGTCGCAAAGTTGTGCCCGACCCATCACGACCCCATGGACAACATTCCTCCAAGGCTCTCCTGTCCTCTACCATCCCTCGGAGTCCACCAAGCCCACACCCACTGCCCCAAAGGCTCCTTCTGGCCACCTCATCCTCTGCCGTCCCCCTCCTCTTTTGCCGTCAATTGTTCCCAGCATTAGGGTCTTCTGCAGTGAGTCCCTCTTTAGGTGGCCAAAGTCCAGTGAGTATTGTTAGGTACTGAAAAGTGAAAGAAACTCCACAAATGTGTATGTGCTTGTTTAAGCATGTAAATGTATGTGCTTAATTAGAAATTACTGATTTCAGTGTTACAGAAGGCAAACTAATTAATCTCTTGGGTGCTTTTAGCACAGAATGGTTGTTTATGGATTAAGGTCACTATCCCCTTTAACCGGGTCAAAGTATCACATAGACCTCTCCAGTCCAGTCTCCTGTTGGCCTGATGTGTATTTGGTGCACCCAGACATGTTTCATGTATGCTATATGCTACATCAGTTTCATATTCCTTTAGTCTGGAAAGCACTTTCTTTTCTGCAACTGGGTTCCTCAGTCCCTTTGCAGTCCAAGAAGCCACTTTAAGCATGGAATTATTGTGTATATTGTTTGTCCTTGTACACGTGCAAATCTTATCCTTTCTACAACAATATTGATCACAAAGTAATTCAATAGCTTTGCTGTGGACAGAATACATTTCATAATGTCATCACTGTGACTGTCATCCTTTCAATGAAAAATACAGACGCAAAGGAGGTAAAACTCCACAGAGTAAAATAAAAAATTAATAAATGAAGCCTATCCAAAAGAAATGAAAAGTCAACATCAGTAAAACAAAACAATGCAAAAGATAAACCTTCAGCTCCCAGCAAGACAACCGTGGAACCTACTCAATAATCCATTATATCACTGATTATCAGAAATATTATTTTTGATTAATGGAAAAAACCTGCTAATTAACCTTAACACTGTCAAACCAAACAAGAAAATTGTTTAAAAGGAAGGCTAAAGAGAAAGAGAATTTTAAAAAGTAAATCAAAACATAGCAGAGGAATAAGGAGAATGGCAAAATGCCTAGAAATCTGAGAGCAGTACAACAGTGGAACCAGCTGCCAAGAGAGGCTGTATGATCTACACCTGCTTCCACATTTAAGAAGCAATTGGACAATTATCTGATTGGGATGGTGTAACTGGACTCTGCACTAGCAGGGGGTTGGACTCAGTGGCCTTCTTGACCTCTTCTGACCCACCTGTTCTGTGAAGGTGTGTAAGCCATTGCTGAATGTCTGGAATTTTCCAATCAACTTTTGAAAAGTAGAATTTAGCAGGATACAGTAGACGCTATAAGAACTGAAGACACTTTCTGAACAGGGTAAGTAGTTCTAATATCCATAGGGAAAGATTCTCTGGGTATTGAAACATCAATTCATCTCGGCAGGAAGTGGCAGAAGTGCAGCTAGTGAAAATCCAATGCCTGTCTTAGATTTAGAAACTGCCATGGTTAAATATTCCCTAAAACTGCCAAACACTCTTGAAGGTAAAACTCCTCTCAAGCTTAAAGCAATTACAAAAATAGAACAGTATGTAGCACTACATACAGTTAGTGAAAAATAAAAGGAAAAACAAAGATGTAGACTAACATAGAAACAAAGAAACAAAGTGAGTCAGAAGGGGCCTCCCTGGCCATCTAGTCTGAATCCTGGCTCCAGCCGGCTCTGCTCATGTAATCCCCAACATATGATTGTCCAATCCTTCCTTGAACACCCTCTCTGATGGAGCCTCAACCACCTCCCTTGGAAGCCCATTTCATATCCTAGGGGTCCTAAACATCAGGAAGTAGTTCCTGACATCCAACTAGAAGCCTGGTTTTGCTCCATTGGAACAGGTCCTGAACCTCCTCCACATGGCATCCCCTCACATAACTATACATCACTAAAAGATCCTCTCAGAGTCTCCTCTTCTCCAAGCTGAAAAGACCCAGTTCCCTCAATCTCTCCTCATATGTCATCCTTCTCAACCCGGCTACCATTCTTGTGATTTTGCACTGAACCAATTCTAACCTAGCTATGTCTCTCCTATAATGAGGAGTCCAGAACTAGATGCAGTACTCCAGTCATGGACATGCCAGAGTTGTGTAGAGCGGTATCAACACCTCCCTAGATCTGGCTATACATCCAAGGGTATCTGCCTTCTTAGCCACCGCATCACACTGCTGGCTCACGTTCAGCCTGCTGTTGACAAGATCCCTTTCACAAGTGCTGCTCTCCAGCCTCTTGTCCTCCATCCTGTGCCTGTGACACCTATTCCTGGGTCCCAAGTGCAAGACCTTGCACTGATCTACATTGAATGCCAACCTGTTGTTAAGTACAACATAAAATTATCTTAATAGTAACATTAAAGCTGAAAAATAAGAGACAGTACAGGAAACAAGCTAGATCGCTGTCTTAACCAGAAAATCATCCCACATTTAAGGTAATGTGAAGCAATGTGACATTTCTGTCTCAACTGTGATGTTTTTCTTCACCTCCAAGTCACCACTTGATGTTACAATAGTGCATGGACACAAAAAGCCTTGGTGAACTTGTACTATTGTGGACCTTTTGTGTCATTTGGAGTTCTTGCATGCTAGGATTAAACCATTAAAAAAATCAACAGTCTCTTCTAAGGTTTCCACAATTCACTGCAGTATCTCCAGTCCTCCAGACGCAGGATCACAATTTTACCATTATCGGTATGGAAACACTCTGGCAAGAGCAGCCGCGGAGGATGCTGCTTCTAGCCTTCTCTCTTTTCTGCCTTCAGCCCCCCAGCAACTGATGTGACATGGCTTTATTTCATTTATTTTATATTTAATTGGTCAAGTAATGCATCTATCTCCCTACTTACATTTGGAAACGAGGCAGCATAAAATACATGAAGGGAGAAAGAATAAACCATGGAAAAAGGATTATTTCCATTTAGTAAAAAATCTCAGTGGTGCTGAACTGGTTAGGAAGTGGTGTAGACTAGGGTTGGGACAAACCCTTTTGGGATCTGTACCTCTAGCATCCATGGGCTTCCTCTTGTGCTTGACCCTGTCCTACAAAGTGAGCTGAGACCTGAGGACGTCCCCAGCCATTGCTCATGGAGCCCCGCTGTGCAACTGGCAACCTTTCCCATCAGACGGAGCCTGTCCAAGAGCAGTGGCAGGACACCATGTGCTGCACCTTCTTCCCTCCATTGCTGTGTATGGAAAAGGGATGCTGCTTGAGCACTGTGTGGGACTCGATTCCTGTGAATGCTGGGGGTGCTTCAGGGATGCTGCAAAGTGGACTGGCGTCTGGGGTGGGGGTAAGCCAGGGAATCTGCCTGCAGCAGCTCCGTTGGAAGGAAGCTGCTGCGGTCCATAGGCAAGACTAGAGAAAGGGCAGGGATTTGATCATGGGAACTACTGGGATGCATGGCAAGATTGGGAGGGCGGAGCAGTGGGGATGGAAATGGCATTGTGCTCTGCAGCAGATTATTGTTTGACCAGTCACTTTGGGCAAGAATCTGCACGCCATGAAAACAGTACAAGGTTCTTTGTCATGCCATGTGAACCCAGCCACTAACTATAACAACTACAACACTGGCCATGATTAAACATTACATGTATCATATAGGCACTGGCATAGGAAATAAGGTGTAATGTTTTATTTGTTTGTTTCTATACTGCCCCATAGCCAAAGTTTTCTGGGCAGCTTACAACAAGGGAAGGCTGTTTACAGCAAGATAAATGTTGTCTGCCACAAGTGTTGCTTGCGTGAAACAAATCTTGTGTGATATGTGACATCTCTTTTTCCAGTAGTTGAACATGGAATATCTCTGCATGTGTGTTTGTAGAAACACCTCACATCAGTGTGGGTAGTTTCCATCTGTTTCTGTAGCATCTGCCTTCTTGCCATCTGCTTGGGTAAAATGATGAGTCACTCTTTGTTTCTGCACTTTGTCAGAAAACCTTCTAGAAAAACAAGACTAAATTGTTTTTGCACAATCAGTCTCTCAACTGCACAGATCGTTCTAGCAAACAACTTTTGGCAAGCCCCATGGAAGGAAACCTGTAACTTCCTTTCAAGCCAGCTTACTTTGTGACTGGTAAAAGAGTGCACTGTTGTAAAACTATTAAGGAATTCTGTAATGGAAAATGTGATAAGACACACACCACCACCAGAAGATGAGATTGCATACTATAAAAGACAGCACATGGCAGGTCCAGACATAATAAGGGAAGTGCAGAGACCTGGCTGGTTTCTCTGCAGAAATTATTTCTGTACCTTCTCAGACTTGGTGATTTGAGAATACCAGATCCCCACAAGTCAAATCCTCCAACTTAGTCATTAGCTTTCATTGTACCAGGACATCAAATTCAGTGCTAGCCAGTGTCGCAAATGAGAAAATGGTGATTCATTAGTTTATGAGATGGCAATTCATAAACTTGAGATAACAATTAAATTAAATCATTTTTTTTAATTTATGGGAAATAATATTCCAACCTCATAAATTAAGGAAAATTGCTTTATCTAAAATGTGCTAGTAAGACCTGCACATGCCTCATCCCCTTGACACTTATATTAGCTCATCATCATGGGAGAGATCTCTCAAAATTATTTCCCAGTATGACAGGTTTGGGATTGACACAGAAAATAAATCTAATGACTGTAAAGTTAGAGGTCAGATAATTTATATTAGAGATATGAATCAGGCAGGCGCACACTTCCAAAATACTTGTTTAATTTAATACTCATCATACAAAATGTAAGAGCATAAGAACCATGCCGAATCAGAGCAAGTGGTCCATTTAGTTCAGCATTCATTACCCAGGAGCCAACCGGTACCCATCGGAACCCACAAACAGGATGTGACGGTGACAGCACCTACCTGCCCAAGTTCCCCAGCAAATGCAGCACGTAAGCGCATTGCCTCTGATACTGAAGGCTGGATGCTTTTACATTACAAAAATTACATTCTTTCTGGCCAGGATATACTGAGAAGTGCAGCCATCTGATTTCAATTCTAGCCAGTTAAAACTGCCAGAAGGAAGCTTTGGTTTAAACTTAAAAAAAATTAAATAGAAACTTCCCTTCTAGTAAGAGAAGAATACAATGAAGTGAGACATAACATAGTTTTGGAACAAAAGGTGCCACATAAACGAAATCATTGTCACCATCTGAGAACGGAAGCAAGGCCATTAAGGCACTCCCGCTGACAGTAGAAACTGTCTTTTTGCTCTGCAGAAGCCACATTTGGCTAAAGACCAAGAAGGAGGAAAACATTCTTTATATATATCAATAAATATGTCGTTTATGTAGACTTATCTTACCTTATGACTGCTCACAGCATCAACAGAACAAAAAGCAAGACCAGAAAGGGTATCATCAGAGTTAATTACTTTCAGATCCCATTGACTGAACTGGAAGGTTAAATACTTGGTTAAGGCTGCCGTCTGTACTGAAACTTTTAACTAAATATCAAAAAATTCAAAATTCAAAAAAAGAGCTATAGCATTTAAAATTAAAAAATGAAACATCAAGACAGGAGTTACTTTCTCACCATTTAAATACCATTTGCTTACACCACCATACTACATACGTAGTATTCCCAAGCAGTCAACCCAGCTAGGCACGGACATGACCCAACGTTTCTTGACTTTTAGCAAAACTGTTGAGTCCTGTGTGCTTGCAGGCCATACATTCTAATCAAGCAAGCAGGGCTTTAACTTTTGATAGCTGCAGCAGAGGGATGGGAGAAGGAAGCAACAACCTGATTTGCACAATTACTGGAGATTATACAAGCCATGGTATGTGCTGGGCCAAAATATCCCAACTTGAATGAATGGGATTTGAACTAGTGGTGACAGAGCAAGAAAGGGATCTTGGGGTAGTGGTGGGCAGCTCAATGAAATGTCAGCCCACTGCTCAGCTGCTGTGAATAAGTCAAACTACTTCCTAGGCATAATTAGGAATAGAATCAAAAACAGAACTGTCAAAATCTTACTACCCTTATACAAATCTTTGGTGCAAATCTTTGGAGAGATAGAGATCATATAATCTTAATCCACAAACTTCTGTGCCAGGTCAGTTTATCAGAGATCTGGTTTGTGTATGTCATTACTCTTTTTACCAGACAAAATGAAATATTTTGTTGTATCCTGGACAAAAAAGGATATACTGCATCCATTTTATCTTTCAAGTATATTGCAGTGAATGATAGCAAAAGGTCCTCTGAGTGGCTTAAGGAAAATACCAAAGAAACCAATACCTCACATCTATGCAGTCGCTATTTGATTATAAAATAGGCAAGTACAGGCAAGAATTTAAATGATTCTTAACTTTAAATATTTTAAATAAAAGCTCTCTGGAATGCAGTTTTTACTGGCCTCTTGAAAACCAGCCAAGAGAATGCCGAACAATACTCCTTGATAGGAAATTCTGTAACTGAAGTTTTCCACAGAAGAAGGCTGCTGATCTACTGTAACTTAGACAGTTGGAGGTACTCATAAAAGAGCCTCCTTGGAAGATCTTAACACATGGGGTTAATATATGTGAGGTACTCCTTCAGGCCATTGAGGGCTGTAAAATCCAAAATGAGCATGTGGAAACAATATAGATCTTTCAGGGCAGTGTTCAATAGTCTCTTCAGTTGTTAGAATTCTGACTGCTGTGTTTTGAACTGGATCTTTTGTAGTTTGCAAACCTTCAAAAGCAGCCCTCTATGCACTGTATTATAGCAGTCCAATCTAGAAATTGCCATGCCGTGGTTTATGGAGGCAAGTTAAATCAGTAGATCAGTGGTGACCTGTGGCCCTCCAGATGTAGCAGCAAACAAAAGAGGTAATAACCAGAGCAGGGAGGGTGAGTGAAGATGAACCATGCTGTGAAGGACACTGGAATAAATGCCAGCTGGAGGACTGAAGGGGAAACGGTACCCATCGGCTGGGCATACTGTGGATTGCTCACAGTATGCCAACCCACCATGACTTAGCAAGCAAGCTTATCATAATATACAAATATGCCCTCTGTGATAAACTAATGCAAGCGTCTGAATATTAAGTTGACTTCATGACTAGCTGTCATGAAGGTCATTTAAATTACTGCAGTCCTCCAGCTGTGAACATTTGGTGAAAATATACAGTCTTTCACAGATGTTAACAATAATTTTGAAACACTAGGCTATGTTGTACATTTGCAACACATTAATATTATGGTGAAGTATTATTTAATCATTCCTATAAAGTTCTTAAGGGGCATGCCAAAAAAAGACTGCTAAAATTATATAATTATACAATTATTGCACCATATATTATGCATATATATTAATTGGTATTCTTATAATTGAATCTAGAGAATAGCTTAGTATTTCATGCAGAAGAATTATTCTTCTCATAAAACAGACTTTTCTTGAGCAAATTTTGAGAAGTCACTTCTAAGTTATGGATGCCATGCATCCAAAATTACACATCAGGTCTGGGGCATAGGTGGCAGGATACTATGGGTGGAGCACTGGGACCAGTGATGATGGAAGTCTTACTGGAATGCAGAAGAACCAGATGCAAAGACAGAAAAAGCAAGAGTCGGATACCTGGCATGGTGGGTCAGACCAGAGGCAAGTTCAGTCAAGAGCAGATGTGAGTCAAGGCACCATTGGAAGCCAGGCAAACCTGGCAACAGGTTCAGGAACACAAATCAGCCACCATGAAGGCCCATGTTGTTGTGGTCAGGCTAAGAAGCGGGCTGAATCATGCTGCTTGTTCTCAGGGGACGCTGGACCACAGCTTCAGATCCTGATGTGAAGCAGCATTAAGTCTTGATGTTTTTAAGTTCAGGAAAGTTGAGCATGTTCTGTTGAATGCCTTTGAAAATGTGGGCTTTAAGTGCTGAACAGCTGTTTTTCTCCATATGTTTTAAGGAACTCTATTTCATATCCTCTAACAGATAGACATTTTTTTCAATCAGTAAATTAAGGCTGACACTGAGCAGGGATTTGGGCTCTATGCTGTAAAGGTTTCTTTCCAGTTCTGTGTGTCTGAGAAAAGATTTTCTGAAAGAGAAATTCTTCACAGTGCTTCTAAACATTTAAAGCCAGGTGGCCAGATATACCTCCTTTGGGATGAGGCTGTAGAATGTTTTCCCCTTCATGTGATTTGTCCGTGTTTAGTAGAGTGATGCACTGCTAAAATGCAGTGAAAATAGGCTTCCGATGAAAAATAGGAAAAGCAGCAAAAGATAAAATGATCAGCTACATACAGTGGGAAGGAAGGGCAGAAACAGGTTACCTGCACTGAAATTTGAGGTGGAAGGAGAGGGAGAGAATGAAGAATTGGCATCATGGCTGGCAGATCTTCTTTAATGTCAACAACTCCATTTTATTTTTGGTCCCACCAGTCTGTGAGTTTGTGTTTTGCCAAGCTAAAGCTACATAGAGTCATAAACCAAGGCCTCTAGCAATTTGTTCAGAAAAACATCTCAGTTGTGTTCCTATAGGAATTCTTGCCACCATTGCCCTTTGGGCCTGGAAAAACTGCATTTGGTTAAGAGGAATTTCCTTCTGGTTGCCAGGAAGTTGAGCATAACACCAGGGGGATTAGCATGGACCATTGTCTTCATCCTTATTTTCTTCCTTTGCTCTGGACTCCATATACATTAGTTTGTTCCTGTCCTAATTGAAGACCTTTGCTTAGGTGGTTTTAGGTAATCTCTCCTGTTTACCTTGAAGCTTTGTTTCCAAATGTTATTCTGGCTTTTGTATGCCTTCTAATTCCCTTTCCTGTTTATATATAAACTTGGCACCTACCTCAGGGTTTGTGTGTGTACTATATTCAGGGCCACCTTCTTGGTTATTGCTACTTAGAGTTCAGGCCTAAGTCTTTGAAACTGAGATCGGGTTCTTAATTCATAAATCCTTAAGCATAGCCTGTAAAGTCTGAGAGTCCCCTGGCTCATACGGCTGTTGCCAGAAGGCATGATAGCAGCCTACCTTGCTGGGTTAGTGTTAAGCTCAAACAAGCCCTGCCTACTCTGCCTGAGCTTAGGGCAATTCTTTTCTTCTCTTTTCAGTGAGACAAAGATGAAAGCAGGGAAAGAAGTTGAAGCTGGGAATGACCATCTGAAACAGCAGAAGGCTGAGAATCAAAGAATTGACACAGAGAGAAACGTCTTCTGTTAGAGGGAACAAAAATGTGTGCTGTGTGTCAGCCCAGAGAAGCTGGATGACTAAGGGGTTTCTGGTTTTTTTTTAAGGGTCAGCTCTGGATATGGAGGAAAGAGACCAGAAATGTAACAGACCATCTGTGGTTAAAGTGTGACTGCTTGTTGAAACTGCATTTATTTAAATGTGAGAAGCACTAGTTTATTCTGACATCGTTGTTATATGTACAGTCTAACCTGCACAATCACAGGGGTTAGGGGCACAGGATGAAAGTGTAAAAACCATGAATATCTCTACACCCCCTCAAACCTTACCTCTTAATCCTGTTGACCGTATGTCTGTTGACCGGATTGCTTCTGCCTCTCCCCCTGTGTTAGCCAACAGTCAACTTGTGGATGTCATAATGACAGGCAACTGCAGCAGCTTCCTTCTCACTGTATGAAGCATATCTAATAATTAAACCTTTTCTAAGGTCTTCGCTTTCTTTTTCCTCTTGGGAGCAATTTCAGAAGCACCATGCTTTGGACTCAGGATTCTGGCTGATACTTTACTGCATTTTAAAGATGCAAAAAGTTGTGAATAACGCAAGACACACTGCACACAGAGAGACAAAACACAGGAGTGAGGCTGAATAACATCAAGACAGTGTGGTGGCCCCAAAGTGCATAGTCCACAGTTCTTTAGCGCACTGAAACTTTTCACAAAATGTAACTTTTAATAATTTGTGTATATATTTAAGGTAGCAAATGATAAAATAGATTAATAATACATATACTGTATGTATTTATGACTTTTTTTTAGTTTTCTTTACATTTTCTAGTTTATGTGCATCATCTGTGATTTTCTTCAGTAGGCTGCAAAACTCTCCCAAAAATTCCCATTTAATTATCGATGGCAAACTCACAAATAAACAAATTCATGTAAATTAAACCCACAAAAGTCAGGGTTCAACTGTATTGATTTTTCTTTACTATCTGTATTGATTTTCCTTTATTATCTGAATTCTGTATCTCTTATTTTCTATATTTGAGTTGATCTCACCTTATTGTTTAGATCTAATTACATTTCTAGTAACCTGAAGTTCATTACAATATGCTTCTGTTTTAGAATAGTGAGGATATGTGTATTTGAATTTGTTTTTCCAAGTTCATTTCAAATGCACGTGTAAGCTTTAAAAGTAAGTTCTGTTTCTTGTACATTTATTTATTAATTAGATTAGATTTATATCTTGCCTTGTTCTTACAAAGACTCAAAGCAACCTAATCAGTCTCCTCCACCTGCTCTCAGCCTTATCTTTACAACAACAACCCTGTGAGGTAGGTTGGGTTGAGAGTCTGTGACTGTTCCAAAGTCACCGAGTTAGCTCCATGGCCAAGTGAGGACTAGAACCCAGATTACCTCGTATCTCTGAGCTATACTGTGTTCATAGGCAAGATCAGTACAGGCAATAGACAATCATGTCAAACCATTAAGCTTTCTCACAAAATTATTGGCAGATATGGAGAAGAATGTGCTTTTATTATCAGACTTTGTTAACCTCTGTGAAAATATACTCTCATCCATCCATTTATTTAGCTTCCTGTTAAACTATTTTACAATGATTTAAATGAAATAAAGTAATAAAGCACAAAGTCATTTGCTAAAAATGAACTCATTGTTATAGTTAATAGAAGCTGTATCTTATTCATGCTTCATTAATATTTTATGTTTGTTAAAAAAAAGATGTGCCCTTTTGCTGGATGGTAATGGAAGTTTTGAAGGGTCATAAAGTAATGACTAAGAATTCATGGCATATTTCTGTGGTCAAAGCCACATTTGCAAGTTCATGTGGTTCTCCCACCTTATGTTTCCCAAACTATTTATCTCAAATACAATCTGCAGTATTACCCCAATTCCCTCAGTCATCTTATACTAACTATATGCAGGAGAAAAGTCTCAGTGCGTCTTGTCATCAAATGAGTTTTTAAAAAGATAGTTCAGTATATCTCCTGCGAGCTTTACTATAGTAGATAAATGCATTTTGTCAGATGCAAGACTGAGCACTGCAATGGGTGAAGTACTATTACAACACGTTAAAATGACAGGTGAATAAAAATAGGTAGAAATATTCTACATCTGTGCAATGATTGTCTTCCACACAGATGTAGACCCTGTGGGCCTCCAGATGCTGAATATCATCAGCTCTAGCCAGCATGGCCAGTGGTCATGAATGATTGTTAATGTAGTCCAACAGCCTCTGAAAGACAAGTTCCTCATAGAATAGGAGGAAAATTAGAATAGTGCCATTTCTGAGTGTGGTTCTCCTTTCCCTGGAAACCCTTGGAACATTAACAATGCCATGTTAACTAATCTATAATAGCACATTTGACTGTGAAAGCAGTCTATCAAACAGACTGTGAAAATAAAAAAAATATGAAATTGGAATTTCTTCCAAGCTATATGCAGCTTAATTTTGCTTATCCTGGGCTGGTGGAACTCATTTGTACAAATGTATGTATTAACAGGGAAAGCCTTTCCCATCTTCACTGGCATCAGAAGCTATCCCTTCAAGCAGTATCCTGTTTTCTTCTAATCAGGTTCTTTGGTTAATAAGAAGATGCTTATCAACCAACAATTCAGGCACAGCATCTTTTCCCATGAAGGACAACTGCACCTACACGTTTTTGTTCTGTCAAAGGGACAAAGTCTTTACCAACAAAAAGGGTAGCACCACTTTATCTACCAAACCTGCCTTTTGGCACCTGCTTATACTAAAACCATCCTTGGTGAATGGAGTTCAGAGAGGCATGTTATCACTACTTGTTGACAAACCCTGCACTTGCAAATGCAGAAGCAAAAACCAAAACAGTGCTTGGGAGGTGCTGAGGATGAGAAAGACAGGACCCCCACACAAGCACAAACCCACTAATTTTAGTGGAAGTTCAGTATGTGGATGATGGCCCCAGGATTTAGCTTCAATGACTAGGGTGCCTGCCAGCCATCTATTGGACAACTTCATGGCAAGTTGTGATCTCTCATATAAGGCGCAAGTCAGTGAAGCTAGCTGCCTGTACTTCACCTACTCTGAAAAGAAGGTAGGTAGCCATTTTTGGACATCTAACTGCTGCATTTCAGAGGGGGAAGAAAGGAGGCTGAGATACACCAGTATGTATCATAGCTTTGAAACTAGACTCCTATCCTCCCAGCCCTGGAATGTTGTGGGGATAAGATGGAGGAGGAGAATGATGTAAGCTGCCTTGAGCCCTTTGTAGGAAAAAGGCGGGATATAAATCGAAAAATAAATAAAAAAATAAATAATGTCCACTGAATGTCTCAGAGGTTGCTTTTAACCTTAGGAAAGGAGGCAGCAGCTCTTTCCACAATGGCTTTGTAAAGGGGAAGGGTGCTCCAAGTATGAGAGGTCAGAGCTGCTTTTAGACATCAGAGCTGGGTCTCAAAAGAATTGTATAGCCTTCCAGGAGCCATAGGATCGCTTTCCACTGCAGTGTTATTTAGAGCACTGTGGAAATTAAGGTACTGAGCAAGTTGCAGCTGCTTAATAGTTAAAATGAACAGAAATATAATATCAAGCTAATAAATTTAAAGATGCTGCTATGCTTTGGGATAAAGACGCAAACATTAGGATTTTCCACAAGAAGAGTGAAGGGCTCTTATTTGTGTTTAAATGCAAAGTTTATATTTATGGCCTTTCTAGTTCACTCTGCTATTTTCCCAGAAATGGAATTAATTGCCTGTCGTTCTACTTACTAAGAATTGTATTAAACATTATTTGCCTTCAGCTTTTAAATTCAACCAACATTCAGAGGTTTTCAGTATTTTTATTGTCCATTGCATATTTTATGGCACAGCGGAATTATGTGAAACTAGTTCAGAATGTTTAAAAGAATGTGCATAATAATTTTACTTCTACAATGCAAAAGCTTCCAAAAGTACCCCTCAGTCTAATTAGGAAATAAAAGTATTCACTGATGATAATTTTATGCTATGTTGTAAGTGCACTGATTAATTAAAACACAATTTCTGTTCTTGGTCTAGCCATTTTCTTTGCTTGTTTTGTTGCCTTCTAAATATTCTTTGCAGACATGTGACTGAAGATAAAAGCCAGTGTAAATTAACTTTTTCCAGTCTTTACCAAATGTGACTATTAAGGGAATCCTAAGATTTCAACAATACAGTTTGATGCAATATTGCAAGGTGTAGAGCATAAACATATTTCTCACTGTAGCAATTAGGAACAGCGATGAATGGGGAATTTGCCAGGAAGTAAATAAAATCATTGTCATGGGGAGAGCAATCCTAAGGTCCCTGCAGAGCATTCTTGGTACCATAAGATTCTTCAGAATCCTCCCTTTCATGCTGTAGACACTGTTATGACTCAGAAAGTTACTTTCCATTACAGAACAAAATTCAGAAAAGTCTACATGATCAGAAACCCAGGGGCCACGTGAGTTTTTATATTCAGGGAATATGCCTTTCCAAACACTAATGGAAGAGGTTAGAGGGATCTAACTGAAATCTGATGCCAGAGGAACCATTTTCTACTACACTAGCTTTGTTTTAAAGGACAGGCTGCTGTCATAAAGCTAGCCTAGATTTAGGGCATTTTAACTAAAGCTCAAGGGAACAAAACATGGCTAACACATTCATTCATTTTCTGTACCTCCAACAGCTGAATGGCTCAAAACGGGAACTAAACAACATACGGATTCCTGCTACTTACGCAGGAAGCAATGAAGACACGAGTTCTTCCAGGAGATGAAGTTTTGTTGTAAAAATATAATAAAATAATAATTTAATGGCTAACTACTAAAAGCTTTCTAGGAAGGGAGAAAGAGAAGAGTTTCAAGGTGATTTTCTTCCATGGTTGTGCTGTTGACTTCAGAGAAAGAGGGAAGAAATTTGCAATAGAACTTACATAGACAAAGAATGGGATTGGGGGAAAGAGAGAGAAAATTATTATTTTCTTGATACTCTGTTGCACATACCTGTACAGAAGTGATGATAATTCAAGATGTAAGGAACGACCAGCCAGGAATTCATGGTCTTTGGGCATGGGGATAGAAGAAACATAGGAACTGAAGTTGAGAAGAGAAATGTGAAGCAGATACTAAAGCAAAAGGAAGGAAAGGGGTGATACTGAAGTGGTGGATGGAAATTTGAAACTTAGAGAAACTATGCTAGGGCAGTTATACATTTAGGCAAGAGGAAGTTTGCTTCAGAAAGAGGATAATAATGGAAGGGCCAGAGTTTAACAAAAAGAAAACACATAAGTCACCTGACTTTTTGGAAGATTGAAAGATCTCAAGCATCCTTACAGCTAATTAATGGGTGGTATGGTAAAGCATTGATAAAATTTGAATTGGAGGAAGGTTGGGCATCCATCAGGAAGTCCCATACTAGCTGAATGGTGGTGGAGGCAACTTCCTTGTCCATCTTAATAGAGTCTAAGCAGGAAAAGTAGATTTGTCCTCTGTAGCTAGATCCCCATCTAGCCCATATTTTCGGGCAAAATAGAACTATATGGAACCTAGAATCTTTTGTAACCTGCCCAGAGACCTTGGACATCATTGCCATCGCCATCACCCTTACTAATTCAAGGAGGCACACAAAATAGAGAAACAACATTGCTCTCCAAAACCACAGAGCTTTGCAAGAGTGATCAAAATTGCAGTGCAAGAGAAACTTCGTTAAACCTGTACAGCATTTGGTGTGATATGGTTCTCCAACTTCCATCAAATCCTTCCTAAAACCCCACCTGTTCAGTGAACTTTTAAACATATCCCCATTAGCTCCAGTTATGTTCAAGTATGTATATAATGTAGTTTTTCTACATTAGGATTTTATTATACTTTCATCATTCCTTGCTTATGGATGGACTATGTTGTAACCCTCCAGTTTAACTTCTGTTTTCATTTCTTTTGTGAAAAGCACTTTTGGGGAAAGAGTGGGATGGAAAAAATCTGTTATTTTTTGGTATTACAGAACACAGCACACATTTCTACCAGTGTAGTTGTATCATTTCACTATGTCACGGTACCAGTAGGACCAAAAAGTAGGAAAGGAAAATAATCTCTGAACTTAATTCTGCAAAGAAACTGCAAATAGAAAAAGCAGGTCAAACAATCTCATCTAGAAAAGCTTGTGCATGGATATTCTTCCTGTTTAATCCTTAGCTCCATTTTACTCCCTCCTTTTTGTAAAAACTCCCTCTTTAGATTTTAAACTTCTCAGGAAATGCACTTTATAAAGCCCTGATGTATAATAATCATGCTATATAGCAGTGGTGGTGAACCTACGGCACACGTGCCACAGCAGGCATGAAAAGCCCAGTTGGCACACAAACCAAGTCGCCCCTTCATCACCCCAGCAGCTGACCATTGGATGGCAGCATACACAGGGGCCATGAGAATGCTTGGAAAGGAGTAGCAGGGCCAGGCAATGATGTCACAAGCCGCAACTCATTACCCGTGACTCATTCGAGCTTCCCCATGGCCAGTCAATGCACTGCCAAGGATATATATATATTTGCTTGGACTGGATGTGAGATGTTTTTTTTCTAAACTAAAACCTCAGTTTTGAGGCTTTATTGAAGTGTTGGTACTTTGCGATAAATAAGTGGGTTTTGGGTTGCAGTTTGGGAACTCGGTCTCTAAAAGGTTCACATCACTGGGCTAGGGTTAGAAAAACGAGGTGTCCTGGCATGATTTTGATGGTTGGAATGTGTTTAGAATGGGCAGGAAGGATGAGCTGGGCAGAAAAAGCTACTGAAGGAAGGCTTTTTCAAAATTGCCCTCCTTTCGATGGAACTTTGGCCCTGAATTAGGGTTAGGGGTGTGCGCCAGGTTAGGGTTAGGGTTGGGAAAACGAGGTGTCCTGGCATGATTTTGATGGTTGGAACGTGTTTAGAATGGGCAGAAAGGATGAGCTGGGCAGAAAAAGCTACTGAAGGCAGGGTTTTTCAAAATTGCCCTCCTTTCGATGGAACTTTGGCCCTGAATTAGGGTTAGGGGTGTGCACCAGGTTAGGGTTAGGGTTGGGAAAACGAGGTGTCCTGGCATGATTTTGATGGTTGGAATGTGTTTAGAATGGGCAGAAGTGATGAGCTGTGCAGAAAAAGCTGCTCAAGGAAGGCTTTTTCAAAATCGCCCTCTTTTCAATGGAACTTTAACCCCTATATTAGGGTTAGGGGTGTGCACCATGTTAGGGTTAGGGTTACAAAAACAAGGCATCCTGGCATGATTTAGATGGTTGGAATGTGTTTAGAATGGACAGAAATGTTGAGCTGTGCAGAAAAAGCTGCCCAAGGAAGGCTTTTTCAAAATCGCCCTCTTTCCAATGGAAGTTCAACCCCTATAAGGGTTAGGGGTGTGTACCAGGGTAGGGTTAGGGTTAGAAAAATGAGGTGTCCTGGCATGATTTTGATGGTTGGAATGTGTTTAGAATGGACAGAAATAATGAGCTGTGCAGAAAATTTATTCAAGGAAGGCTTATTCAAAATTGTCCACTTTGTAATGCAACTTTACCCCCCATATTAGGGTTAGGGGTGTGCTCTAGGGTAGGGTTAGGTTTTAAAAAATGTCCTGGCATGATATTGATGGTTGGGGTAGTGGTGCTAGGCGATGACGTCCCGAGCCACGATTCATTAGCCACAACTCATGTAAGCTTTCACATGGCCAGTCAGTTTATATATATATTTGCTTGGACTGGCTGTGAGTTGTTTTTTCTAAACTAACCCCCCAATTTTCAGGTTTTATTGTAGAGTTGGCACTTTGCAATAAATAAGTGGGTTTTGGGTTGCACTCTGGACTCTCAGTCTCTAAAGGTTTTCCATCACTTCTATATAGTATTTAATGTGATGTGTATATGTACATAGTAGCTACAACTATGATATTAGTTACAAAATGTATTACCAAAAACTTATACCAGGGGTCCTCAAACTTTTCCAACAGGGGGCCAGTTTAAAAGTGCCGGCGGTAAGGGCGGGCTGCCAAGGCGGGTTGGGGAGTGCACGGGGTGAGGCAGCCGCTTGCTCGAGCGGAGGTTTTCTCCTAGCGAGTACAAAACGATCTCCCCGCGAGCAAGCCACCGCCGGGCAAGCACCAGGCGAGGTACCGGCTTGCTGACAAGGAGATGGTTTTCTCTGAGCAAGTCCAAACCAATCTCCGCATGAGCAAGCCGCATGCCCGTGTGCCACGAGTGCAAAACCTCTGGGGCAGGCCAGTTAAATGGGCATGGCAGGCCGAATCCGGCCCGCAGGCTGTAGTTTGAGATTCCATGACTTACTCTGAGAATTTTCTCTTATACCTAAGAACTGATTTAGCATGGAAGAGGGTTGTTGTCAGTAAATTCATTTCTATGCCACCCAATATGCAAGTTCCCTGGGCAGGTTGCAACATGTCTTACCAACCCAGCTGAAAGAAGGTAATTATCTTGACTTCACATAACGTACGAAAAACCATGCTGGGTCAGAGCAATGGTCCATCCATCCCAACTGTGAACTCTGTTCACAACAGTGGCAAACCAGCTGCCCACAGGGTCCCTCAAGCAGGATGAGGCATGCTACCTCTGGTAACGGAGTTAGCTAGCCAGCAATTGCAGTAGCCACTGTAGCCTCCTCCTTCATGAATTTGCCCAATTCCCTTATAAAGACATCCAAACTGGTGGCCATCACCACTTCCTATGGCAGTGAAAGCTACAATTTAACTCTAACCTCCCACTAATCAGCTTCATGGGATGACCCTAGGTTCTAGTGTTATGGGAAATGGGGGGAAATGTCTCCTTTCCCCACAACACGCATTATTTAATGTCTCATCTTATTCGGCTTTTTTTCTAAGCTCAACAGTCCCATTTGTTGTAGCCACTTCTCATAGGGAAGTTGCTCCAGCCCCTTGACCATTTTTTGTTGCTCTTTCCAGCTCAATAATGTCCTTTTTCAGGGAAGGCAACCAGAATTGTACACAATAAGCTAAGTGCAAGGGCACCATAGATTTGCATAATGAGAGTATGATCTTGGCAGTTCTATTTTCAATTCAGTTCCTAATTATGCCTGACATGGAGTTTGTCTTTTTCACAGTAGATGCACACTGAATCAACATATTCATCGAGTTGTCCACCCGCTCCCCACCAAGATCAGTCAATAATGGACATTTATGAAGTGGCTTCTCAAAAACAATAAATGATTGTTTTCTGATTTCCTGCTTGGCACCAAATTGTATCCTTTGACAATAAGAGATGGGACAGTGAAAATCAATCTTTATTTTACTTTATTTTGAGAAGTTGTCACAATGTCCTAAAATGCCCAGTCTGATAAAAAATAAAGTCAGGCCTTTATAGAAATAGTTATAAGCAAGCAGTAGTTGCAGGATTGTTCAACACATCTGTTTTGTAGATCATGAATACCACATTGCAATGTTTTCATGTGCTTCCATTCTTGTAGTAGATTGTAAAAATATTGGCTCCCTGAGACAGATGCAGAATTTGATCAAGTGCAGCTGATCATGACTTGAGCTGCTCAGATCAAAGATTCGAGCTTGCTGGAACTTGGGGGATGTATCCTCTTGCACAAGTATCAATTTCTTCTATTGCCTTATTAGCACATCACCATTGGATATCACTCTGGCAGTTCAGAGTGGAATGAAAAGAAAGGAATACTGCAGCATCCATATGTATGACTATAGCTTGACTTGAATATAGTTTAACATTAGACACATTTCAAGCCAGTGGAGGCTATTCTTCAGGGAACTATAAAGTATGTCATCACATCAAAGACAGAAGCTGTGTTACATGTTGCACAGGGATCAATACCTGGAAGGCACTGTAGCAAGGGGGTTATTGGACATGCTCAGTGTTCAGCACAGGCCTTTTGTGAAGCAATAAAGCAACAGATACGCTAAGCTTAGTAGCTGCGAGAAACCTGTAGGGTGCTAAGGGTCTCTGTCAAGGCATTAGATCAGTGGCCATCAGCGGGTGTGAACTCCTTGCCTCATACTTAAGGGAGTCCACATACCCCTTGCCATGTTCTGAAGCATGGGCACAGCTCCCCCTAGAGACAACCAGCACCATCCACCCTGCAAAGGCCTGCAAGACAAGGAGTGCACCAGTTGGGACTTGTAGGGATTGGAACCTGGTGCAGCTAGGCACTCTGGGGGGCTCTATAAAAGGCTTCCCTGCAATGCTCAGCTTTGCCACAGCAACACCAGCTTTTGTGCCGACTACACGGTGCTTCTGATCCCCCTTGATGCTGCCATGTCTCTGGTCAGCTCCCATTTTATTTATGTATTTATTTATTCATTTTTCGATTTATATCCTGCCTTTTTCCTACAAAGAGCTCAAGGCAGCTTACCTCTCCTCCTCCATCTTATCCCCACAACAACAACCCTGTGAGGTAGGTTGGGCTGAGAGTCTGTGACTGGCCCAAAGCCACCCAGTTGGCTACATGGCTGAGCGGGGACTAGAACCCAGATCATCTGAGTCCCAGTCCCATGCTCTTAACCACTACACCACACTGGCTCTCATTCCTGGCCTTGACTTCAGCTTGACCAGGTCTGTGCGCCTTGTGCTTTCTGACCTTGTCTCTTTTCTTGACCCTGATTCTTTCACTGGAAGTAGTTAAGCAGAGCCTGTCAAGGATGCAACAACTGAATCTTGCACTCACTTAGAATATATCATCACCAACCATCCCTCCAGCTCTAGGATTCTATGTTCCTATGTGGAAATATGCACAAAAGGAATCACAGATGAAGCAGTTTCTGATAGTATAAATAATGGTTGTGGCAGTATCTATGCTTATATTACCAAGCTTGTATTGGTATTACCAAGCTTGTATTACCAATGCTTGTATTACTACTTGCCAAGTGAGACTAGATCTGCCTATTATATCTGTAACCACACCCTACATTTATTTACATTTTATTTATTTACCTCGCCCTTTTGGTACTGTCCATGGGGTTTTCATGGCAAAGATACTGGAGTGGGTTGCCATTTCCTTCTCCAGTGGATCAGCTTTTGTCAGAGCTCTCTGCTATGACCTGTCCATCTTAGATACTGAAGATGCAACTAAAATATTTTGGCCACCTAATGAGAAGGATGGAGAAGCCTCTGATGCGGTGAACGATTGACGGGTAAAGGAGAAGGGGACTGCAGAGGTTGAGTTGGGTAGATGGGGTCACTGGGACAGTGGGTGTAGGCTTGGGTGGACTCTGGGGGATGGTGGGGGAAAGGAAAGCCTGAAGGAATGTTGTCCATGGGATTGTGATGGGTCGGACACAACTTTGTGACTAAACAAAAAAAAAGGGGTGGGGGAGAAAAAGGAAAAAAAACCCCGCCCTAGCAGCTATTGTGGATGCATGGATGCAATCATGCTCCTCTTTTTGGAGTCTTGGTTCTCAGACTAGGAATGTTACACAGTGGCAACAGTCGGGATTCTTACAGCTCGCGTTGGAAAGCACAAGGCGCGGTGTTCACGAGGGAGCCTCCGAGCTCGAGCTGCGAAGACAAAGGGCCCGCAAGCAGAGTCTGCAGCGCCGCCCCGTCCAGCCCCTGCGCTGCTCACCTTCGCTCCCCGGGCGCGCCCGGACTGGTCGGCGGTGACGTCACCGAGAGCGTTGCCATTGCGCCGCCCCCGCCGCTTCCGCGGAAGCGAGGAGGCGAGTCCGACGCGAGCGCCGGCCGAGGCGGCGAGGGGGGATCGGCGCGCTCTGCGATCGATTAAAAGGCGTGCACCCGGAAGTCATCGTCGTTTGGGAAAGGGACCGTCGTCACCGTCGCGGAGCTGAAGGCGGCCGGCCGGGAAGATGACAGTGGAGAGCCCGTGCTACCCGCGGACATCCATCGAGGATGATTTCAACTATGGCACTAACGTGGCTTCGGCCAGCGTACACATTCGCATGGGTAAAATGCCTCGCTGCGCTGCGGCTCTTGCGCGGCCTTCCCAGCTCCTCCCCAGTAGAAACCTGTCTTGTCCTGCTGGGCTCCAGGTGGCTGCCCGTTCGTGACCTTAAAATACAGCAATGCTCTGTGTATATAATGCAGTCCCCGCCTTCGTGCAGGAGAAGTTGTAGCTGCTCACAGGGGTGACGCAGAAACCCAGCACTTTAATTAGCTGAGTAGCTTGATGCAAATATCAGCCCCTGTCGCAGGAAAAGCAAAGCCAGAAAGCCTGGGTATCTTGCGTGTACTCTCTTGAGGTTTGGTTTCCTCAAATAGGCTAGTAATGCTGCCTGTGCTGGGAAGAACATAAGTATACTGTGTAGTTATCCCCACGTTGTAGTTGGTTGGGAAGAGCTAAAATGTATTGTGTCCTTACGGGGGATGATGGCAAGTTAAGATTGGCTTATACTAACCCACCAGTATTGTTCACCGTTAAGTTCTTCAAGAAGTTGTAGTCAGAGTGGACCCGATGGGGAACATCTTGCTCTCCTGATGTTGGATTGCAGCCACTGTCATCATTCACCATTGGTTGTGCTGTCTGAGAAGCCTGAGAGAAGCAATCCAACAACATCTGGAGGGCCACATGTTCTCCACTCCTCCATAGGCAGTATGATATCCCAAACTTCTATATTGTGATGGGCTTTTAACCGGTTCATAAGTATCTGGAAATAGGAGTGAACAGTGAAATGACCAAGTTTGTTGATGACACCAGACTTATTCTGAGTGATGAAAACAATAAGGGATTGCAAAGAGTTCAAAAAAGACTATCTTCACATTGGGAGAATGAGCATTAAAATGGCAAATTTAGTTCAGTGTAAGCAAATGATGCATTTTTGAGCAAAATAATGCAAAGTTCATGTACATGGTTCCAAGCTTGCAGAGACTGGCCAAGGAAAGATCTTGGGGTGGGGGTGGGGGTGGGGGTGGGGGGTGGATCGCACAACAAAGAGGTAAACCTAGGGTACAGCTGCTGTGAAAAATGCAACTACCATATTTGACCTAATTAGAAAAGTAATTGAAAAGAAAACAGATGATACTGCAGGGTTGTGACCATACCTGAAACACTGTATACACTTCTGGTCAGTAGAATAAAGGGCAGCCAGAATGTTAAAGGTCTGGAACAGCTTCCCTGTGAAAAAAGATTACAATGTCTTGAACCATTTAGCTGAGAAAAATGGTAAAGGCAGATGCAATAGTTATACACAATTATGCACGGTGTGGAGAAAGTATGTAGGGAAAGGTTTTTCTTCCTTTCCTATTATTCAGTGAAGCTGAGTAGTGGGAGATCCACAAAGAACTACTTCACAGAGCTTATAGTTGAACTATGAAATTCCCTGTTGCAAGATGTAGTAGTGGCAACCACCTTAGATGACTTTAATAGTGAAATAGACAGCTTCATAACTTGTAGACTCTAGGTGATACAACTAATCTAGGTCAGAACTGAATTGAAATGAACTTTTTTCCTTGTCTATTTATACACTTCATTCAAAATACGCGTACTTTTTTCTTATTCAGCACTTTAGTTTAGGGTCAAGTATTAAAAGGAAATTGAGCAGTGACTAAGCTGATATATTTTCCCCTATTTTAGCTTTTCTGCGAAAAGTCTACAGCATCCTTTCCATTCAGATTTTCTTGACTACAGTGACTTCTGCAGTTTTTCTGTACTCCAACACAATTCGGGCATTTGTACATGACAGGTAAAGTCTTTTACTGAAACCAGTTGCATAGTATTTTCCTATAGCTGTTACTCAGCAGGAGCAAAACTGTATGGGACTTACCTCTGCTAGGGAGGTGAAACATTATAAAAATGTTGGGAGCAGCACTGGCAGAGGGATAGGCTGGTTTTGTTGATTAACTTTCGTTAATAAATGAAAGTTCAGACTTTCCACTGGAATGCATGGAGTCACTATTCTGAGGGATGCTTTCTTTGAAGTTAGATTTATACGGATTAGGCAGAACTGAGATCTATCCCAGAGATGGCTTGTTCAAAGGGAATGGAGAGGTGATTTTGATTCTCCTGAAATGAGTTTCTAAGTGCATTTTGTGTTATCCAGGTAAATGGCACCCATTCACTATTCTCACAGACACCATTCCATTGGTGAACCTTGTATTGGGGCAAAAATCAGGTTTTGCTTCCACCTTGAGTTGTGGCCCATTTATTTTCTCCCATATAATTCACTTACTTCTACTGAGCTCTGTTTGCAGATTTCTATTCCCCAGCTGTGCCCAGTTGAATAAAATGTATCTGCTTCTTCTAAAAGAATCCATACAGAAATATATTGCTTCTATTAGCATGTCTTTATTTAAGGGTTAAGAAAGACATATATTTGAAATATTCATAGCTTTCTACAAATAGATGTTTTAATTTTGTATGACCATTTGGGATGACTTTAACTTTACTCATTGCAGACGTATTTAAGCATTTGAAAAATCTACAAAGTTGTTTGATAGATTCTTAGTTTCCATTACACTGGGAAAAAAAGATGCTCAAAAAAGGAAACATTGCTCTAATATCTTTTCTCGTGAATCTTGCAGCCCTGCTTTACTTCTGATATCCTTGCTTGGTTCCTTGGTTGTGATTGTGGCATTAACTCTGTACAGACATCAGCATCCAGTTAATTTATATCTTCTCTTTGGATTTGTAAGTATTCTAATAACACACAGATAGGACAACATCCTATGTGGCTGCTTGTAACCCCCTGAACTTGGGACATTACAGACATCCGGCCAGGTGCAGAGGCAAGGATTATATTCATTCTTCCCCTGCCCTGCAGTGGCTGTTTTGGGCCATCTATGTCTTTTACCCCTGTTGGAGAGGAGGCAGGGTTATTGAATTTGAATTGAACTGCATCAGCTCCAAGGGTGGAACAAGGGCCCTCCAAAGATGGAATCCGTACTGCATCCTCAAAGGGCTTTTATACGGTTGCAGTGGGGACTCCCAACTTTTCCTGTGGCCTGCCAGACAATGCTTACCAGCCAACTTGGTCTTTTAGTTCTTTGTGCAAATGTAAACTTAGTTGCAGGTTGTTTTGAGTTGAACTTACTTTATTGTACATGCCTAAACTTTCCCCATTGCTCCACTTTAAAAGATACCTATGAAACATATGTTCTACTTCTTGGAAATGATGTATATCCAGTTTCTTTCTGTATACTTGTCAGCCATGTACCATGGGATGACTTTTCATACCTGAGGACTATGTTTTAGTTTGTAGGCACAATCCCAGACAACATCTTAGAAGTTACTTTGATCAGACCAGTTACTTTGATCAGACCAGTTAGTTTGATCAGACCAGATCAGCAACATAAAAACTGCAGCTTTACTGATGAGAAATTGCTTATAAAATATTGCATTGATTAATATTTAGCTTAAGAGTGAGTTCATTAAAATCAAGTTAGACTAATATTGGATATAGCTCATTAACAACCCTTCCATGTCTTGAATTACAGTTCCCATCATTCCTGGCCATTGGATCTGCTAGTTGGGGTTGATAGCAGTTTCAGATGTTATGAAACATCTGAAAGATACCAGCTTGGTGAAGGCAGGTCTGGGCAGACGAAAGGATAGATGAAGGATCCCAGTTTTTCTTAATCTCGGTATAACTGATTTTGAAACATGTGTATTTCTCAGCTGAGATACATGGGGCCCAGTCCAACGGTTCTGATAGGCACTCCTTGAGACCCCAGGCAGGCCCTTTCTCACCTCCTCAGTGTTTGCTGTACGGAGCTGGCACAAAGTTCTGTGAATGCATCTGAGTCCCTTTGCGTGCGATAGTGGAGTGTTGCTTCCATAGCGATGATCACTGCTCTTTTATTTCTTACAGACCCTTTTAGAAGCACTGACTGTTGCTATCACAGGTAAGTGCTCATCGTTAGCATGTAAGACATAGGTCTAGGCATGGGCATGGTTGGGGGCCCACACCACAGGAGGACCCACCAACAACAGTACCCCCCCACCCCAAGTTACTCTTCATCACATTTGCAACACTCTTTTTGCCTCTGGCTACTTGCCTCCTCCCTCTCTACCTAGGAAGCAAAGAAGTTGAGTGGTGAGGAAAAAAAATGAGATGGCATAGCAGGAGGTGACAGTAGCAGCGAGAAGGCAGATTCATTGAGGGAGGAGGCCACTGAAGATATTTTGCCAAGAGCCTCCAAAATCCTGGAGCCGGCTCCTTGGAAAGAACAAAGCACTATGGTTCTAAATGCAGCTGCTGAGTGGCATTTGTCAGAGCGGTCCACCAAAATGCCCCCACCCTTGAGAGTATATCTTCTGACCTTGCAGGAAGAGATGTGCAAGGGCTCATCTTTGGCCTTGTAGCAGGCTTCTCGCTTCTTCAAAGCTCCTCCAAAGCCCAGTGTAACTTCAAGTGCATGACTCCTCCTTTTACCTAGAATGGAGGAGAGGGAGCTTCTCCTTGCAGTAGTGTTGAGCTTTCAGATGTGTTTCTAAAAGGCAAGGCTTTTAGCTGCTGCTGAACAGCTCTAAAGCCCAGTTCATCTACCAAGCTGCAGGAGTGGCAGGGCTTGTGATGATGTCACATTATTGGCTGGTGATAACCCAGGCTCATCTCAAAATGTCACCCCTGCCCCCCGTGTTACCACTACGATCTTTGTTGCTTTGAGGGTTGTGTACCCTCCAGATCCTTGGATGCTTTTGCTTATTGACTCTGCTTAGAAAAAGATCAGAGAGAGAGAAAGAGCGCGCTATTTAACCATGTGCTGGCACTGTAGAAGGGCCTGTATGATGTGTCTGTGCAAAACCCAAAAAGAACACAGAAAAAGTCCAAGCCTTGGGGAAGTATCATAGTCCTGAGCTTCACTTAGTTCAATAGAGGCAGACAATAAAGCAGAGTGTTTCTTCTATTAACTTTTTTCTGATAAAATGAGCAAGAGAACTATGAAAGATTCCAGCAAAGCTCCCACTCCAATGAAGTATTTACTCCACAATAAGGGTGAAATCCTGACAGAAACAATTCCAGCATGCTGCTGGGGAATACTAAGAAAGGTTTAGATAGAAGAAAGTCCAATATATAATATGTATTGGATTGCACCCAAAATGTGCATATAGTTATTAATGTAGACCAAATGTAGCTAATAGAATACCAATTTAAAATATGAGAAATGTGAGTGTGATGCCCATGCTAGCTTAAACCAAAATAATATTTCTTTGGATTTTTGTTTTTCTATAGTGACTTTCTACGAAGTGTCCATTGTCCTGCAAGCCTTTATTCTAACTACTTCTGTGTTTCTGGCACTCACTATATATACTTTGCAGTCCAAAAGGGATTTCAACAAACTTGGAGCAGGGTAGGTTATTTTCAAATTCCCTTATTCAACAACTCATAAGTATATGTTGATAAGGTTTCTATCACCATTGTACAAAAAAGGTCACCGTTAAGTACTCCTAGAGATCAGTACATTCTGCAAGGCTGCTCTTGACAGAAATCTCTATCAATACAGAGTGATGGTGATTTCTATCAAGAGCTGCCCTTGGAAAAACCTGGGGCAGCTGCATTACAATTATGTGGTTGGTTGTGTTGCAGCATTAGGGCATGTGTGATTTGTTATTACTGTAATGGTAATAGCAAGTAATGGTAATTGTTGGAATGTGAAGGCACGTTTTATGTATGTGCAGAAAATCCACTACTATGGAAATACAATAAAAAAAGAGAATTAACCCACTGATGTGTGTTCACAGGCTGTTTGCCGCCTTATGGATACTTCTTCTGGCAAGCTTTTTAAAGGTAACAGATCTTACTTATGGCTAATATTAAAGCTACTGGCTAAATGAAACTTGGAGGATGTTAAAAAAATTTAAATGCCTCGGATTGCAATAGTGGAGGGAGCAAAGATTTGGCCTGGTCTGACAGAGGATAGTTCAGATGCCTAGATCCAAGGCAGGAGAGATCACTCTGACCTCAGAGCTAGGAACTCCAGCTCCCATCCCGGAGCCTCTCACAGCCAGCCAGGAAAGAACTTCCCAAGCTGCTCTCAGATCTCAAAGCAGAGCGAAAAGGGGATGATTGTGGAGGAATGGGATGAGACTGGGGAGTCAGGACCAAAGTCACCTGAGGGCACCCCAGCCTTCTCTCTCCCCCAGAAGCATTCCAGCTAGATGGGAGGATGAGGCGGTAAAGATCAGCACCACTGGGGCTTACAGACATCCCAATTGCTTCCTAACAAAGTGATCCCTTTCTGTGTTGCAGAGCTCTTAGCAATCAGTGAGAAAGAAATGGCATTTCTGCTTTCCTTCCCCCATACCTGGATTGGGATTTTTAAGACAAATTTCCTTACATTGAACCCATTTTGATCTGTGAATAGAAAATAGGATACTTTTATATAAATCTGAGCCAGATGTTATGATGTCTCTGGGTTCAGAAACAGGTCTGCTTCATTCTTTTAGGTTGTTCATTTCTTATGACTTAAGAATTCTGCACAGACAGAATGTTCTGGCTTTGAAGCACTTGTTAAAAGCTCGAGGGCAGTGATATCTTCTGTGTGTATAACTTTATTCATTATAAAAGAGATATAATAAAACTTAAAGCTGCTGTGCAATCAGGACCTGAAAACCTGGAATGAATTTATTTGTGTGACTTTGAAAGAGCAGGCCCTCTATTGGGTCTGTCACATAGGAGGTTATGACAATAACTTGTTGCTTGTAACAGGGAAAATACTAACTTTTTTGGAATTAGATTTAAAATGTTAAAATCTTAATGTATATGTGCAACTTTCCTGTGAGCATGCAGACATTTTAATTATGGGTCTATGATGGCTAAATCAGATTTTGATGTGCTTTTATGAAATGAATTCTTTCTAAATCTTTGTGTGTGCATATTCTTTTGTCGTAGCTCTTTTTTTATAGTGAAGTAGTAGAGCTGGTATTTGCTGCTGCAGGAGCTCTTCTTTTCTGTGGATTCATCATCTATGATACTCATCTGCTAATGCACAAACTCTCCCCTGAAGAATACATATTGGCTGCAATCAACCTCTATTTGGACATCATCAATCTCTTTCTGCACCTGCTACGCTTGCTGGAAGCATTTAATAAAAAGTAATTGAGAGTTGTTCAAAATTCTGAGATAATCTGGATGTGGCATCTAAGGAGTTAAGACTTAGAAAATCTGCAGTCTGTTTTCAGATTAAAGTTTGTTTTTACATTCCATGGTGATTTCAGTGTTTTCTATTTAAAAGATGTTTCAGGGAGCTCGTGCCTAAGATTCTATTCTGAGATCAGCTAATTACATGGTGCAGTCATCTTGGCTGTTTGGTAAAGGCTTCAGTCCATCCGTTTGCATATTATTACTGATGAAAGACTTGCTCATCAACCTCCAATTGTGCCAATAAGCACTATTAAAACTATTTTATTTTTCCAGTAATTGCCACAGATGTGTTCTTTGAGATTCACAATAGTTACTGGCTAGATAACATAAAATTGAGCTTTCTTAATTTTCCTATTCAACACTGAAACTTTAAACAAGCTAAAATTCCCTTGTAAGTGTTTTACCAGTGACCACCAACAATACTAGCATTTGGAGTTGAAGGAGTAATTCTGTAAATTGCTCTCTTATAAGGTTGTGATGTTTTTTAAGCTAAATAATATCAAGTGGCTACATTTTCAAATACCACCGGTTTTGTAAGAATATTGTCTTACATTTTGCCCTCAAGTAGATAACTTGATTCTTGACAATGGGTAGATGATGAAAGCAAAAGTGTGATCGTCTGAAAGTTTATTCTGTTCTGAAGACCTATATTAAGGGAATACTTATGTTGTTCCCTGTATTCCAAGTTTGTCTACTTTGAAATTCAAAATATGTATCTTACCATTTTTTTCATGAATTCTTTTGGAATGCCAGAAAAGCTTGAAGTACATTATAACTCCTTCTCAAGGCATTCGCATTGTCAGTAAGGGATAAAAATATTTCTGTGCAGTGTTTGTGAAATAGAGTATTGGACAATGTTTGGTCTTGTACTGTGAAATGCTGGCAGAGCAGAAGAAGCAATTACATTCCATCTGCTCTTCTATTAGGATAATATTAAGAACTGATTAAAATAAATTTTATGAAATGTTAATTATGCCAGTCAGTTGTCTCTTTATTTTTGTCTAGTGTTGCAAGATTGTAAACTAATGGATTCATGATTACTAAGCAAACAGCTAACAGGCGGAAAATTAACGTTGTATTTGGTCATTAAAATAGCCTTCAAACAACACATGAATGATGGTAGTTCTCATTCTGAAGTCCTTCTAGATTTCCCAGGATTTAGCTTCTAAAAAGTCTGTTTGGACTTAAGACTGCTTGGAATTCCAGTTGTTTAATCTGGATGCCCTTTCCTTCAGTCACAGGGATATGAGACCTAGTGCCACTATTTACATGCCCAATGTCACTTATTTTTACAACTTGAGTTCTTGCGCTAAATCTTAGGTTCCAGCACTAAGATCTATCAAATGCTTATTTATTTGATTTGATTTGTATCAAAGCTGCCCCTTCGCATTATGCTCTCTGGCTGTCCAGTTATGTCCTATTCAAGTTCTTAATTTAGGAAGTATTCCAAAAACCAGGTGGCAAAAGTAGGAGATACACAAGCCCATTACCTATAAAGTTTCATGCTTTTGTAAACCTTTTCTCTGCACTGCTTGCCCATCTCTGTCCATAGTTTACCACTCTACTACCTGCAAATATGTTGCAGAAATTGGAGTATCCCCAGAATATATTTTCAATATAGCTGAAAGTAATGGAGTAATATATTACAGACAACCACCCCCCCCCCCACAAAACAAAGAACGTAGAGGGAGTGAAAGAGCAACATGGCAATGTATTGGTATGAAGAAAAGTAATTGCAGAAGGGCAAACACAACAGCAGGACCTGACTGGCTCTTCTATCAAGGGTTCTGCTGATTTCCAAACATGCATGCCATCTCCTGTCAGCATCTACTTTCTATGTGACAAGTCTGTTGGTGATAAAAATAAATGGAAAGTGGGCATATATCAAATATGGCAGTGTTTAGAATAAAGAGGGAAATAATTCCTGAATCTCCACTCTGTTCCTGAACCAAAAATAATCTTCAAGAGAAGCTGTTGCATTTTCCTCTACTGTGTGTCAAATTTTCCTGGTGCTGCCTACTTGATGAGATTCTTTGGCACCCTGGATCTCTTGGTCCTAGTCAACTGCCAGCTTTGTCTCCTAGAAATGCCTCTGCTACTGTAGGTGTTAAGTTGGCAAAGCAAGGCTAGGAACATTGTATTATTCCTAATTACATAATAGTATACATCACCTCTCGCTTTTCATGGTTTTTAGTCACACCGTTCAACTGTTTTCTATACCCACTTCTATGTACTTATTCAGTCATTCAGAGATTTAGCTATATTGACATTCCTGCGGTCACTACACACGCGCGCGCGCACAAACACACATATACTACAAATGCTCTCAATTACACTTTGTTCCAACAGTTGCCATATCCAAGAACAGGGTTTTAAACTTCAATAGCCTGAGCATAGTACACACAGATGCATAAAGCTATTGCAATATGTGCAAATCTTCCTGCACATTAGCGGCCTGGAAGTGCAAAGGAGACTTTTTTTGGGGGGGTGGGGAGTGCGGGGAAAGGGAAAGTCTAATCTAGACCAGCCTTCTCCAACCTGGTGCCCTCCAGATGCTTTCACTGTCGCCCCCAGCAAGGATCTGGCTGGGAGTGGCAGGACTACCCAGCCCAGAAGCCACCAGCCCGGGAAACGGGTAAGTGGCGATTGCCAGCCTTCCCAACAGCGGCACGCCGCTCAAGCCTCACCTCAACAGCCAGCAGAGCCGGAGGAACTCGGCAGGGGGCTCTGCTGAGTGCCGGGAGGATCGCGCTGGGCTAGCCGGGCAGCTCGCTAACTGCGGAAGCGGATCCTCGGCGCGGCTCGCGGGGCGCTTTGCGCAGCTTCGGAAGAAGAGGCGCTGCGCCGGCGTGTGTCCGGCGAGACGCGGCGTCTGGAGCGCGTGGCCCGGAGCGAGCTCGGGTGAAGAGGGGAGCCGGCGCCGCCCTGCCTTCCTGCCCGGGCATCCGCCCGGCCTCTGTGCGGTGGCTGAGGCCCAAGGTGGCGGCAGGCAGATCTTCGCCTCTGTGTTGAAGCCCGTCTTAAGCCAGCCTTCGGGGATAAGAGCGTAAGAAGCGTTCCTTTCCTTTTGACCTCGCTGCTCCCAGTTTTCCACCCCACAGCCCTCCCCCTGTGTTCTGTACGTAAACCTGAAATCCCCCATAATCCATGCGTCCGGGCTGTATTCCACGAAAGTTCATGCCAGAATAAATGTGTTCGCGTTTAAGATGGCACAAGATTGTTTGTTGCTTCATACGCACACAACCAGGGGTGCTCTTCCTGGCCATTTGCCACGCTGGAAAATATTTCTTGGCGTTTTGGACTTCAACGAGTCTCACTGATAGCATTCAGGTATACTTGGGAATGGTAGGCCAAATATGTTCAGGGTGTCCTGTTAGGGAAAGCTGATTTACCTAGTCCATATCTAGTGGGCAATCACTTTCCCCTGGGAATCGTACCAACAGGGCATGAGCACAAATGTATTTGCTTATCGCTTAGAAATTCAGTTGCATATTCAATATTCTTAAAACTGGGGGGTAGAAAAAATCTTGACATGTTTCATATGTTAGCACTCTGCATTCTTGACCATTGGGCATGTTGGGAGGGACTTCTGAGAGAATCCAAAACAGCTGGAGAATCTATCTGCCCCCTACCCCAATCCTAACACATGGTTGGGTAAGGTACTGTGATTTTACCAATCATTCTTGGAGTGAGGGTGACTGAATATGCCCTACTTACCCTTCCCATCCTAAAACGTGACCACTATTCTTAATCTGGGTATTTCCTGCACCACTGACGGGCTGGTACAGTACATAAGGATCTCTGAATATAAGAACCCTCCTGCATTAATCAGGCAATTCGTCTGGCTCAGCATTCTCCTTCTCAAACAGGTGTCTCTCTAATGTCCATAAGCGGAATATGTTCTTTGCTATTTTTGCCACTAGTCCAAACTCATAGCCAATGTTTCATAGCATGATGCCTGTTCTCCATGAATTTGTCTGATTCTTTTTAAAGCAGCAGCTAGTGGCAATTTACATGTTGTGATGGTAGATTCCATGAATAAATGAATGAATTACGTGTTGTACTTAAAAAATGTATCTGCTGTAATTTTCATTGGTTGATCCCCAGATCTAAGAGAGAGGAATGAGAAAAAGCAGAAGTATGTTGTTCTGATTAACCTGATTTTGGGAATTAGTAATTTCTAAATAGTATGCCTATTAGCATATTACAACAACCCGCTGAGCTTTTTTTTACCTGCATGGGCTGTCTTGTGCTGGCCATCCAGATGTATCATTTTTGCACCATGTCATAGGCACCCATCTCATTGTGACTTGTGTAAACGCAGGCAGAAATTGCTTGACAGACAAATCTCAATCCTAAAAGCCACAGATTATTTGAGGGTTGCCTAACCCTCAAACAACCCCTGCTGCCTGAGTTTGCAAGATGAGTGATGGTTTGCCAGGCACCCATAGATGCCATGCAAGTCCCCACAGGTGTTGTGTTGTATAAACCAGACTGCTATAAGCAAAAATAGTTGAACTTAATGGCTCTGTTTCTGTGACTTTACTGCATCTTAGCAAATAAAAACCCGCAAATGTTTGCTTTCCTGTCATTAGCATTAAGGGACAGGAAAAATAGCCAGCCATCACCAGTGTGATTTTTGTTTGGGAACTTGCTATTTAAAGAAAGGAATATGACTGTGTTTTTTTTAAATGGTAATTCTAGGCTAGCCCCTTGCTAATGGCTCTTAGAAACAGACTGTATTGTGCTGGATTGATGTTAAATATTTTATGCTGCTTCACTCTCTTCAGATGTCATAATTGCTACATTCATACATGCATAAAAGTGCAGTATCTCTGTCACAGCCTTCACTTTTGAGTATTACTATACAAAAGAATTTCTTTTTCATCAATTTTATTATTAATGTCTTATTATTGATTAATGTTATTGTTTAATTTTTCTAAGACCGCAGTTCAACATGGAAGTAAGGTATATTGAAGGGTCCTTACTTCTTAGTAGATAACTATAGGATTGGGCTGTGAACCATTCTTGTCGTCTTAGGCAAGTTCTTTCCAGTACGTGACAATTATTATTTTTGCTGCTGTTAAGGTATAAAGAAATGGTTTTGTTTATGTATAAAGCTTTTTTGTGTTTGTTTTAAAAACACAATATAGGAGGTAGACTAACTTTTATCACCACATTCTAACATCAAATTGCAGTAAGCCTCAAATATGGAAAAATCAGTTTTCATGGTTTGGCAGTGCCCACAATGACCATTTCCAGTATTTTTGACATCCGTGTATCTCTGTGAAAAGGGCTGTGTGTATTCCATGCTTCTGCACAGGGCATACAAAACAAATAATTTCTACAAAGATCACCATTGTGAAACTATTTAAAAATTAAGGGAACGTTTTTGAATTGCAAAGGTAGGTTTGAAAATATGTAAACCACGCTGTAGCCTCTTACTATAGAAATCCCCAGAACCATAGTGGGATCTCAGTTGGATTTATAGTAGTCAAGATGCCAAGTATCCTGCGTCATTTTTGAAAGTGGGGAAGAAAAAGCAGGAAGGCAGTAATTGCAGGGGAGGAAAGGCAGAGACTTCCAGATGGACAAGAGGTCATGTAAAAATGACTGCTTGTTCATTGATAAAAAATGGAATTCAGTGTGCTTCAAAACTAGTACTGAGAAGAATTCAGTCTGAAATGTGTTGGAAGTCTGCAGCAGAGCAATACTAAAGTGATGGTTAAAAACCTGCTTCTCTGTGCACTTGGAGATCGCCTTTCTTCTTTCTCCTGCATTCATTTCCTTCTTTGTGACTAGCTGAAGGAGAAACAATTTTGCCAAATAACCATGCATATATGTTTGGATTATTCGTTTGAAACTTTACCACTCGGCTGTACAAATGTACATAACCGTGGATTGGCAGCATGTCTTGAAAAAGAAATGACTTCTATGAGTTGGTATGACAGTGATGCCATTTTCAATGTGGCATCCAGATCGAGGAATGATCCCTAAAAGGCTCTTGCCATTCATTGTTCATTTTTAGAACACTGCAGAAAAACATGGTTTTAGTGGGCATTCTTAAGTTTCCAAAAATGCACTCCTATTCTGCTTTCCAGAATTAAGCCCCAGTAAGTTGAGCAGGACTAAATGTGTACATAGTTGCGGCCAAGCATTTCTTTCCCTATAACTTCTTTTACTGCTATTATAAACTGCCATTTCTGATAGATTTTTCTTTTTGTATGTCATCTGTGATTTATTATTTCTTAAAATGGGTAAGAACCTTTGAATATGTATTTAAGTGGAAAAACAAGGTTTAACTTAAAGCAGTTAATTCATATAATGTATATATGTGTGTGTTATAGAATTCAAGAGATTTGTTTATTTGGCATTGGAGACTTATTTATTTATTAGATTTCTATCCTGCCCCATTAGCCAGAAATGTTCACTTTGTTCACATATCTACACAAACAGTTCAGTCCTGTACGCAGTGAATTAGTCTGCTGTGGGTATGGCTAAATTTGGATCTAGCTTAATGGGTATTTATGGTGATATAGCCAACTGGTCAGGGATGGGGGACCTTTGGCCTTGTTGGACTCCACCACTCATCAGCCAGTATAACTACTGATAGAAGTTGAAGTCCAGCAGCCTCTGGAGGGTTACAGGCTCTCCACCCCTGCAGTAGGTGATACATTTATACTGGCAGTTTACTTCGTGGTCTTTGTGCATATGTGCAAACCCTGTGATGTCTTTAGGTTTCCAGGGGATTAAGTGTTGCACTTTATTTTTCTGTTTATTGAAGCAAATCAAAATGGCAAAAAGCATAAGAAGCAAATGGAAGAGAAAGATGAGAGCAGAGAAGAGGAAGAAAAATGCCCCCAAGGAGCTTGCCAGATTGAAGAGCATCCTGCAAACAAATACTGATGTTCTAATGGATGAAGTAAAAGAAATTGCAACTGTCATAGCTGCTGAGAAAGTTACTGAGAAAAAGGATCCTGATGGTTAGTTGTTGTTTCTTTATTTTGCTGTAAAAACTGTGGCAAAGAAGTTCTGAAAGTTTGGAAATAAACTTGTGAGAAATATGCTGTATCTTCTGCCTGATCAAGACCTTTTTCCTTTCATTCTTTTGCTACTTCTCTTCCCATATTTTCATTAGTTTCACAAGTCTCCCAACATTTCCACTAAGGAGATTTCTACTATATAAATACAGCTGCTTTCTGGGCCAGTGTTGTGCTTAGGTGTAGAATACAGCATTGTGATGCACAGAACAAAGTGCTTACAGAAGAAATATGACATGTCCTTATATATGTATTTTGATTAATAGTGTTCCTCATCCAAGTGCCTGGCATGGGGTGACACAATATGTAGGGCCAAACGTAAGACACTAGAAAACAAAGAGAAATACAATTTGTTGATAAAATATAAAATCAGACCTATTGTCCACTCTCTTTTTCCTTTTTCAAAATTGTTTTTCAACTCCTTTTCTTTGAGACCATCTATTATCCTTCAATACAGCGCACTCACACACACTCTTTTATGCATCCTCTTCTCGATTCATCATTCTCCCATCAACACCATGATAAGCAATAAAGCTGAATTATTACCTTATTCAATTACCATCTTCTTATTAGCTTTTGGCTCTAAGAGTTTTAAACAAACAGATACAGCATTTCATGCAGCATACTTCTTTATGGGCTTATTTTTCCAGATGATACCAAGATGGACACGGATGCCAAAAGAAATAAGAAAACTCTTCTGGATGAACATGGACAGTATCCAGTATGGATGAACCCCAGGCAGAGGAAGAAACTTAAGGCAAAGCGTGGCAAAGGAAAAAATAAGCCCAAAGCACCAAAGGGATTAGCATGGTAGAGTCCAAGTGAGTTTTAAGATGTAGAAATGACTATTTCAAAAATGGGGACCCTCTTCCCCCAGATGAAGCCCATGTCTCTATCCAGGGGCAAATTGCAAGTTTTTTGCTTCAGACTCTTGGAACTGTCCGCTTGGGGTATAGTTCATTTACTTTAACATCCATCTTACATGTTGTATAAATTGGAGTACAATCAAACTAAACTGAAATAAATCCTTTTAAAAATAGTGGAATTCAGGTACCCAGTCAGTTGTTCTAAATCCCATTGGTTTCAATTTCCAGAGATGATATGTATTGTGTTGGTCTGTTGCAGTGAAAATAACAAGTCTTGCAATACCTTAATGTCTATTAGATTTATCATGGCAAAAGCTTTTGCGAAGTGCAGTTTGTCATGTAAGGGTGCAGTCCTATGAGGACACCCATACTCTCCAAAATCAGAGGATTATGAGCATCCTGTGCAGGAGGGGGGGGGGGAGGGTGGAAGCAAACGTTGCCCCTTTGCTTCTCCTGCCCTGCAATGTTGGCTGTCTACCTGGTGCTTCAGAAGGGGAGAGAAGGAGGCCAAGGCACTGCCAGAAAACCTCATACCCCTGTGGTGCCAGACTCCTCTGTGCCTGCTATAACCACAGAGAAACAGCCAGAGTGGTTCTTTCCATGACAACTGTGAGGAGGAAAGGAGGGCACTCTGAGTGTGGAGTCCCAACTCTGATGGTGGACTGTTTTCTGATGTCAGAGCAAGGACCTGAAAATTCCTAGGCCCTCTAGATGCTGTCTAGGGGCCAGAGGAGCCTTTTCTAAGAAACAATATCTTGTCACTGTTACTGATTTCAGTGAAATTTAGTTACAGCCAATACTCACTGGATTGTGCTACAAATAAGTAATGTGTACTTCAGTCATGGCTGGTGTAACAGCAACATTCAAGTATGATCATGTTATGTCTTAATTCTTTCCTTTCGAACCTATGCTACTATTTTTTATATATGCGAACCCCCTAAAATCAATGGGTTTAGCACAGCTGCATCTGTATTCGATGATGGCCAGCATCTGTATTTGTAGGTAAAAAAGCTTAATTAGCACTTCCTTTAAATATTAAGGACATGATTGATTTTACTGATGTCAGTGGGCAAGAACTAAGCAAATACTGTGCAGCCATAGCTTTTTTCTTCTTTTCCCTATTTCTTGTGCTCAGTTGGGCATTTCCCATCCAGGTGTGCATAGGATTGCTGCTGCATTCTTCCTTTGAATCAGCAGGACTTTACAGTTCCGGTACTATGCACACCTAAGAGTAAGCCCTGTTTAATTCCTTGGGGATTACTTCTGATAGACATATATAGAACTGCACTGTAAAGCTGCAGTCTCAAGCAGAGTACAAGCTCCAAAGAACCCAGTTGGACTTACGCATATGTTCTATAAAATGCTTAGCCTCTCTAAATATTCAGATTTTTAAAAATATTGTAGATGTGACTGAATTCAGTACTGTAAACTTTGATGGCAAGTTGTACATTGTACTTTTGAAAAATTGAATGTGGAAAGCAGTTGGGTTTTATTACTCGAGAGGATAGCTCCATTTCTATATCAGTAAATGGCACAAAAGAGATTCAGTTATCCTGTCAAACTGTACAAGTATATAAGTAAGAAGATCTCTTTACATTAAAAACTTTGAAGCTGGTCTTTGACCATATTAAAGTTGTTATCTATCAGTTAAAAACTTGCCTTTTATAAGTGCCCCAAGGGTACAGTACAGCAATCATTAAAAATATATTCAGCTAAGAAACCAAATTTCAACTAGTTCTGAAGTTTGAAACATCTCCTGAGACACTTATGGTACAGCACATGATGAAATCGGGGAAAATGATGCAGAAATGACACTGTTCTCTTGACTGGAAAAACTCAAATTGAAGAAATAATGCAGCCTTTGACAGAAGCAGAAGGCGGCAGGAAGTTCTCATTTTTTCATGATTTTTTCATCTTCAAATTCAACTGGTGAAGAATATGACACTTCTTTGGATGTGTTTCAGGCACTGTTGATCTGCATGTTATGCCTGGGAAAATGTAGTTCCTTGAACGAGTTCTCTAGAAAGCTCTGTTAGAATTTTCCTGATATGGTAACAGTCTATAGGTTAGATTTCAACTGAGCATCTTGCAGCATCCCATAGGGGGTCTTCTCATGAAGAATGCAAAGTAGTCTTCATGTATCTGGCCTCCTCTCATCAACTCAGCATGGCTATTGGACTTAACAGAATGGTAGTCCAACACATTTGGAAGGAACCCGGTTGAGAAAGGCTAATTTATATTCCATTGGCAACTAGACCAATCCCTATTTCACCTTTTAATATGCATGTATCAGTTTTGCCATAAGTTTGGAGGAATGTAAGCACTATGAGTTCTACAGTCGCTCAATTTGGTAACAACTGCGGGTAGTTTTCTCCTTTTTCTGGGAATTGTGACAGGAATGGGAAATGGTGATCCTGCAGATTCCGTGGGACTCTCGTCAACCCTGGCCAGCATGGCCAGTGGTCAGGAATGATCAGAGTGGTAGTCCAGCAATATATGAAGGTCACAAGTTCCCCACCCCTCTTACATGATTTAGGATACTCACAGTGCTATGGTGAAAGATACTGTCACAAACAAATTTGTGTTAAAATTCTATCAGTTCTAGTTCACTAGTAGCAACAAAAGGTTTACCTCCAGAACAGCTCTGATGGCTTTATGCTGATAAGAAAGGAATGCTATGGAAGGAAAGCAGCTAATACTGTCCTGTGGGACTTTATTGTAACTTTCTGCTTTAAGAAGAGCTGTCCACTGCTGTGCTTCATTGCAACATACAGAGGTAAGCCAGCTTCTCCAACTTGGTGCTCTCCAGGTAATTTGGACGACTGCTCTGCATTTCAGCTGAATAGCTGCTTTTGCCCATCAAGTTGAGGCACTTTTGGAGATGAAGGAAAGGAGACAGAAGGACTGTCAGTATACATTGTATCCTAGTGGTCCCAATCACTTCTCCTTGCCCCCTGTACCCACTCCCCAGAGTTAGATTCCTGACTTTAGGTACTCAGTATTCCATCCTGTTCTTTCTATTCTGGTTGGGCACTTGAGTTTGGTTGGGCTGAACTTGAGTTTCAGCTCTGCTCTGTCCATGTGGTGGTCGCTTCATTTCCAAGGCAGTTTTTCTTTACCTCCTCCCAGTATTGCCCCTGTTCTGCTCTGCTACCTAACTCACATCTCCAGGGCCCATTTTCTGTTCTCTGGTGCTGCCTTGTTTGCACAGAAACCATGTTGCTGTGTACACCCAGAAGGAACATTATACTACCATGCCCACTTCTAGACCTGATTTGTCAGCCTCTTTCTCCATTTGCAGTTTCACAGGAACTTGTGTCCTTTGTGTGGGCAGCAGAATTTGAGTTCATTGATAGTTGTGGGATGGAAAATATACACAATTTCAGTGCAGAAGCTGCAGTGAAAGCCAACCATTTAGCCATGCTTTTTAATTCTTGAGTCATTTAGCTATCTCCCCTACCTCACTCCCATTTTCTGTCTCTTTGCCACACTCTGCATTCATTAGTTCTTTGCTGTACTCAGGGTGTAAGGAAAAGCCACACTTTAAGGCTTGAAATTCTGTTTTTGTAACTAAATTATTTTGACTTCAGAATTTCTTGATAATCGCTTAGCCTCTGTTTGATGCCCACATTCTAGCTATGAGCATCAGAAATCCAGGAGTTCAACTGAGTTTAGGTTTACCACCCGGCCAGCTTTTGTCACCTTGGCACTCAGCATCACTGAAAGAGCTAGAGACTTCCACCCCAGGGGGATTTCAGTGGGTTGCTTGTGTCCACTTGGCTTTTCCAACCATCTATGGCCAATGAGCAAGTGAAGTCCTTTGAGCCCCGCTTGCATGGAACAAGGTAGGTCTAACCACTTCGGCTCTTTTCCTCCTTTAAAGTTCTCTTTTCTACCTTCACAGCTCTCCAGTTTCACTAGAAGCTGCACTTCTTCTGGCGCACAATTTCACAAGCCCTGCCTTGCCATCTCAACACCACCTCTTCCCCTTCTTATTTGGGCAAACATCAGCTTTCCTCATCTCCATCTACAGACTATTAGAAGTAGTATGTCTCTGCCATTTTTCTCTTTTCTAATGTTTGTATACACATGTATGTTAAAAAAAAATATATTTTATTTTAAATTTGGCTGAGATGTTGCTGCTGTGATTACAACTAAAGAATGGTGCTCATTTAGCCTTTCTTTGGAGGGTACCAAAAAAGGTTAGAGTATGGTTGCAATATTGATAGGCTATTGGTGGATTAGTAAGCATTTAGTTATGGTGATAAAAGATATAAATCTGACTGTTATAACATAATTTTTCATTGTGATGGAGCAGAACACTGTTGCTTTTTGGCTTCCAAGAAATATTACTAAATTGACTTTGACTGAAGGTGAATTTCTTCAAGACGTTACTTATTGGACAAGGGGTTGTAAGTTTCAAAGCTTTTGTTCCTATTTTAAAAAATTCTTATCTTCTCCTGAAACTCTCGCAAAACATATGCAGTAAAAGGTGCCTGGATGAAGAGAGCAGTTGGAGGTCATCTTTTTTCACCTCTAGGTCATTGGTTCAAATGCAACCCAGTGGTGAAAAGTGATAACCATCTGATGGCTATTCAGTAGGCAATTAGCATGGGTAGGTGGTCTCCCTCCAGTTTCCAACTGATGCTGATTGAAATTTTTATTGAAGAGCAATGAATAAAATGATGGACTTCATTCTCTTTCTAAGGGATGATGTTGGAAAATATAAATATGTGAAAGTTTGGTAATGGCATGTTTTCTACCTGTTAAGTACAATCTTGAGCTTTGATATGTCCAGTAGATGGCGCTATGGGTATCTGTTAAGCTCAAGAAAAAAATTATCCAACTGCATCCACAGTAAAATTGTTTTTGTTCCAGGTTGGTGTGTGTTCACTCGCTCGCTCGCTTGCACTCTCCCCACCCCCTGTGTGTGTGCGCGCACATATAAAGATACA